TGCGGCAGCTCCAGCCACCAACACAGCCACTGCTCAGGGGCCTGCACCCACAGGCACCTCCTCGCCAGGCGCCGCCGCCACCCCCAGGCCCTCGCTCCAAGAGGGGGCTCCCCAGGCTCTGCCAAGTGACATCACTTCAAAACCCTGCCCAACACGAAAAGGAAAGACCAGCCAAGATGAAAACAAAGGCGAAAGGAAAACGCACCACGGACCGGCACGGGGCGCAAGGCGCACTTGGGCAGGAAGGGAAACTTCAGCCGCAGCCTCTTCACAGGGAAACCCTCACGCACCTCCCCGCCACAGCTGCCCCCAGGGGCTCTGCCCCAGCGCGCGCTTTCGCATCCCCCACTCAACCACTACAGCCGACCTGCCCCCGACGCAGCCCCGGCAAAGCACCGCCACCGCCCTCCCCACGCGCGCCCACCCCACCAACGCACTTCCCCGACACCACCGCAGGCCACCAGCCAAAACTGAAAACCACAGCCGGAAACTCGCTGCCACCAGAAAGCGAGCGAGGGAAAGCCGCCGCACCACATAAAGCCGGCCACCCGGCAGCACCCCAAGCACAGCGCCCGCTCGCACCGCCACCAAGCCTGACCAGGCTCCTGCCCAGCACCACCCACGGCCCCACCATGGCTGCGCCCGCAACCCCACAGCCCCGCCTGCGCCCCGGCGCCCCGCCGCTCCTGCTCCTCCTGACGGCTCTCGCCACCGCCTTCGCCTGCCACCACCTGCCTCCCCGACACGACACCTTCCCCTGGGACAGCCTACAGCTCCTCCAGGCCATGGCTCCCAGCCCGACACAGCCCTGCCACCCCCACCAGGCGCCCCTCTTCCCCGACACCCTCCTCCACACCAACCACCCACAGCAAGCCGCCGCCAACGCCCTCCGCATCCTCCAGCACCTCTTCCACACCCTCAGCAGCCCCAGCACCCCCCAACACTGGGACGCCCAGGCACGACACCACCTCCTCAACAGCCTCCAGCACCGCATCCACCACCTGGAGCAATGCGTGCCAACCAACTGGATGCTCTTCAAAAGACAAGGACCGCGCAATCTGTCACTCACCATCAATAAATTCTTCAGGGACATCCAGCACTTCCTTCGCACCCACCACCACAGCGCCTGCGCCTGGGACCACGTCCGCCTCCAAGCTCGCGCCGCCTTCCAACAGGTGGACGCGCTCTTACGGCAGATGAAGAGCCAAGCCACGCCTGGCCTCCGCCAAACCCACCTGCTCCAAAAGCCCACACCCAGGCAACACCGGCAGCCACAGATCGAGCAGAGGGAGCAGCAAAGCGGGCTGGGACTGCTCAGCACTGCTCCCGCCTCTTCTAGGCCGGAGACCACTCTGACGGGGAAATGGGCATGACCACGGCAAGGCTGGGGCCAGGCTGTGGCACAGACTGCACACCCACACTGCGTCCACACCTTCGCTGGAAGAAGGAGGAAACTGCTATGCTGCATGCTCATGGACAGTCATGAAGTTCTGGGGAGAGGGGTGGTGTTTATTATCCATGGCAGGCTTTAGCCCATCCAGAAAGGTCCCTATGGACACTGCGTGACTCTCAGATCAATGACTACTTATCATGAACTCTATTTATTTATTTATGTATCTATTTATTTATTTATTTATTTATCTATCTATCCGGCCATTAGTTTTTATATTTATATATTTATTTAATTCACTTGTTGGAAATAAAGACTTTTTGCAAAAGCAAGTAAGAAGCAAAAAGAAAAGAGGTGGTCATCATGCGTGTACCTGACAGACAAAGACAGGATCTTTGCAGTCAGGTAGGGAGAGTCCCTCCTGCAGCCTGTCCCACCAATGCCTCCTGCCCTGGTCAAAGGTTCCAGACAGCAGGCCACTCTCAGGGACTCACCATGGTTCTTCAATCCAATAGGCATCTCCTGTTGATATCAGACCCTTGGAGCACATGCTTGCCCAGATGATGTGATGCCTGCCCTGTGCACTCCTCCTCCCCCACCACCCACCCTCTCCCTTCCCAACCCTCTGCCACTGCCAGGACATGAAAGCCACCCCCAAACCACCACCCTCATCACAAAAAACATCCAGCAATGGGGATGTTGGGACCAAGCAGGGTGGCATAAAACAAGGTGCAACTAAAGAATCAAGGAGGGGATCCACCAAGGCCTGCTGAGGCCTTGGACACCAGTGCTATTAACTCCACCCAGGAAACACCAAAAAGCCATAAAAAACACAAGAGATGCCCAGGACTGCTCTTCCCTCTCTTACAACCACCACAACTGGCCCACGATGCTCTTAACTGCACACACCAGTGGCCATGGACACCTGCCTTGCTACATTCACACAGCAGTCTAGGCTTTTTTCACCCCAACACATTCTCAGCAAACAACAAGATACATCCCCAAAATACCAACACCCTACACAGTCCAAACTGACCAGCACAGAAATCCCCATAAACTCCTCCCACACCACCGGCTATTCCTTTGCCCTCCAAACACCACCCCAAAAATATCTGCTCCAGATGCTTTGCCCTCCCCAGGTAAGTCTGAGCAAGATAACACAGAAGCTCAGCAATTCTGACCTCCTCCTACACAGGACAAAAAGGTTGTTCTCGATGCTCAGTCACACCACATTGACCACACCTCACTGTAAGAACTCCGATCTGTGCAAACACAAATAGGCACTATGTAAGCAGCTGGAGATTGAGAAAACAAGTGAGACCAAATATATTGAGGTAAAAAGCAGGACGCCTCAAGACTCTACTTCCAGGTGTCACAACAGTTGTCCTGACACCCTTTCTAAACAAAAATACTCTGTGATGCCAGGCAGGGAGGGGCTTCCCTGGCTTCTCAATGGCTGCTGAAGAAAGCAAACCCTCCTCAGAGAAAAACATGAGAGCAAATGACATAACCTGAAACACAAGGAATTCAAACATGAAAGACTAAACACATTATTATTAACTTTACCACGAAGGTGATACAACCACTGAAGAGAAATAAGGGAAGTTGTGGGATGTCCACTGCTGGAGATATATCCAAAGCATAGACAGACACAGCCATCAACAGCCTACTCTGACACCATCCACCCTCAGAAACAGACTGTAATTGGGACCTCAAGAGCAAAAGTATCAAAAAAAAATTTTGAAAAACTGAAAGAATTGATGCAATAACGATGATTAAAGAAAAAAAAAAACCAAAATAACCAAGAGAGAGAATAAGAAGTTCTAATTGTCTGAGTGCATAACATAAAAACCAAGGATTTCACCCAGCAAACACTAGAACTGGAAAAAGAAATTTTTCTAATGGACTTCCTCCTCTCAGAAGCAGAAAGAGACAGTGATCAGGAAAAATTCCTGAACAAGTAGAAAGAGCAAAACTCCTACTACATAAAAACATTTCTGGCTCCGTCTCCATTACTCAATACGCCATAGATTAAAGACTTCCAGCATATCCCGATAAGGTAAAAATCAAGGAAAAGGAAATAAAAAAATTGTAGAAGTATCATCAATAAACATTAAGAAGCACAGAAACAGAAACAAGTCTTCAGAGGATGTATAGATGCTGCGTACTTCTGAGATTCCTGAAGAAACAAACGACTTCACAAATATCCCAAACTGAAAGAGAAATGACGTATTAACAAAAAAAGAGATGAAAACACTAACAAGTAAAAAAAACCCACAAACAATACCAGAGCATTTACATAGGCAAAACAGAAAAGAGAAAGAAGGGAAATTCGATTGAACAGCCATAATAATTAACCAAGAAAGGAAAAGGGAAAACACCAAAAAACACACATCATCAACAAAAATATCCCATTCGTCGCAACCCATTCCTGTGACATATCCCAATGAACCACAACCAAAACGTCCAAAAACTGTCAGGTGCAATGCAGCCCCGGCAAAGCACCGCCACCGCCCTCCCCACGCGCGCCCACCCCACCAACGCACTTCCCCGACACCACCGCAGGCCACCAGCCAAAACTGAAAACCACAGCCGGAAACTCGCTGCCACCAGAAAGCGAGCGAGGGAAAGCCGCCGCACCACATAAAGCCGGCCACCCGGCAGCACCCCAAGCACAGCGCCCGCTCGCACCGCCACCAAGCCTGACCAGGCTCCTGCCCAGCACCACCCACGGC